ATAAAATATTATCCAATTAAATTTATGATATGAATTAACCAATAAAATAAGAACTAAATATTCATATCATAACAATACTATAAATTGAAAGTTGTAGTTTATATTTAGAGCTACAAATCAGTATATAATACTATATGTTAATTTTTAATCAAACTCGAACCAGACTCAAACTCATATAATTATTCAGTTTGAGTTCAGTTCAAACTTCGAACCTTTCTTGAACTCAAGCCAAAATCTGGTTCAAGTTCAGTTCAAATTTTGAACTGAACTCAAACCCGAGCAAAAATCCAGTTCAGTTCAGTTCATAGAAACACTACTGTGAGAGTTCCAGGTCAATGACATAAATTCCAACTGCCAATTACTTGTGTAGTCACCCATGTAGACACTCAAATTAATTCAACATGTATTTACTTATTTTTTATTTATTTTTTATTTATTTATTAGGTTAAATTTGAAAAGTAAAATTCTTGTCAAAGATTTACGTGAATTCTTGAATACAATTTCAAAAAAACCAGAAATATTTGTAAATTTTCTCATTTCAAATATCAAATTAGGTAATAATGCTAGAATAGAATTAGAAAATTCTCCTATTAAGGAATGTATTTGTGTGTGTTTTTACTATGAAATCATTGATAAAATTTTTGAATATGCACAAATCTTGGAAGAGAAACAAGAAAAACTTAAAAAGCAAAATGAGAAAAGGAAAAGAAATGCCAATGAGTTGGAAGCTGGGAACAAATTTCTTCGAAAACAAAATAAAAGAATCAAAGAAGAATTCCAAAATCAAATTGAAATACTTGAAAGCCAAATCATTGATCTCAAAGAAAAGATTGAAATTCAAAATCAAGACATTAAGGAAACGCTTGATAATCAATCCAGAGAATTTAAAAAACGAAACCAAGAAATGAAGGAAAAACTTGAAAACCAATCTAAGGAATTCGATAAAAACTCGATTTAATTTTAAGTAAATTAAAATAAATATAGGAATAAATATTTGCATGCGGAATTTATTTTAACATGTTAACGAATTTCTGTTATATGGAAAATAAAATTTTATTACTTATACCTAGAGGACATATTGTCTAAAGAATAATTATTTTCTGTCATAATCTTATCAAAAATAATTATAAAGTGATTTCTGGTTATTGAGGTAATATCAGAAAACGATAATTGGCTTGAGCCACTGGAAGAACCCAGAGAAGAAGCAGAAGATGATCTTCGGGGAGAATTAGACGTAGGTAAGTGTCCTGCACTGTAAGTCTAAAAGTACATAACCTCAATAATTTTATTTTTACGGATGTATACAGTATACAAGTAAATAAATAAATAACATAATTTATCAAATATTTCAATTCTCAATTTCCCAATATTTCCAAGACTTGCTCAGTGGTAACAACTTTCTCCCTCGGTTTTCCTTTCTGTCTGCCTAACTCGTTCTCTTTCTCTTCGACTTTCTTCCAATCATCATACGACACAGTACGCACACCTCGTTCTTTTAGTAATGGTATTATCGCGTCCGCGCCTTGTTTAGGCCCTATCCCAGAACTAGGAATTATTGGTTTTTTCTGGTCGATATCCGATAGTATGGTTTCGGCTGTTTCGAACGCGTCGTACATCGTGGCGGCTATTACTCCGCTTGGGCCACTTTTGATCCATCCGGAGACATAGAATCCGGGTAACTATAATATGATAACAATACATGTAACGATATATTAACAAAATTTTTTTGATTGATACGCACGCACCTCGTTGCCCTCTTCATCCAATATTTTACCCTTCACATTAGGTATCAATCCTCTTTTATGATCGAATGGAACACCCTCTAACGGTATACTACGATACCCAAGGCTCTTCACTACCAAACTAGCTTCTAATTCCTCTACATCACCAATTGGAACCGCGATGCGTTTCTCGAATGGACCCTCAAGTCTATTCACATTTAATCTCAATCCTTGCACATACGAAGGGTTCGTTTTACTATTTGGAATAAATTCTATTGGGGTTCGTAGAAACTTCAATGTCCATGATTTTTCAGGCTGATTATTGATAGCTATAGTATTAATAAGTCCCTTTTCGATAATTTGCATTAGCCGCTTCAACGGACGATCTTTCGAAATCAAATCGGCATGTGTTTTTATTTCTTGATTTACAAAGTTGGAGTCAGTCACGAATTTGACGTTTGGCAGGTTCATCATTTCGCGTAGTTCTTTGGCGGTAAATGAAACCTCTCAAAATTTATTAAAATTATTAATTTTAATTATGCCAAACCATTAAAAATTTCGTTATTAAATAATATAATAATACCTGTAATGGACCTCTTCTTCCTAATAGAACAACATTCCGTATCTTACTATTCCGTAGCACCGACAACGCGTACTCTGTAATATCAGTTTTTGCCAACACATCAACATCCATCAACAAAATGCGCGCAATATCTAACCCAACATTTCCATGACCAATCACCACAGCCGTATCCGATCTCGTTAAATCCGGCATCAAGTTACGGTACTGCGGCATCCCATTATACCATCCTACAAATTCTCGTGCAGAAAAAATATTCTTCAACACCGCACCGTCTTCGAATTCGATTCCCAGGGTTTTTTCCTCTGTCGCGCCATACGATAACACTATTGCATCGTGATGTGCTTTGAGATCATTGATTGTGAGGTTTGTGCCTATACTCACATTACCCACAAACCTATATCTTGGATCACGCGCAACCTCATCAAATCTATTTTGAGCGTTCTATCGAATTGTGTTATTTAAAGGTGTAATGCGTCATAGTTGCAGGGTTTTATTTTTTACCTTGACTTCCGGGTGATCTGGGGCTACACCGTATCGAACTAACCCGTGTGGAGCCGGCAGCGCTTCGTACATGTCTACCGTGGCAAACGAACAGCTTTTCAAAACTCGCTGGGCTGTGTAGAACCCTGCTGGTCCACTACCGATAATTGCAAGGCGAAAAGGGTTGATGCCGGCAACATGTGAAATAGGTCTTTGTTGTTGTTTGGTAGTATAGCAAACCGAAGGATGTTGAGAGAAGTTTGAGGTATTATGCAAATAATACTTTTCACAACTTTTATTAAATAATTTAATAGTAGTAATAGTAGGCGGAAAGCGCCTAAAGCAATTTGACATTTCAAAACGAGAAAACTACACTATTTTCACGGATCTTATGTAAAAAAAGTGACGTAAATAAAAATCATGCACCATTAATCTATTATAAGTTTACTCGACTTACAAGAAAAAGTACAAGATAAACATGACTCAGTCTACAACCAATGTCTTTGGTGCTGCTTCCTCGTTTCTTCCACCTCCTGGTGTTATGCCAACGACGACACCACAACCACCGACACCAAAGCACCCGCCAAACACTACTCCGAGTAATACTATCTACATTAATAATTTGAATGAGAAAATAAAGATACCAGGTTTTTTCTGTTCTTTTTTATTTACACGCAATTTAAATTCTTTAGTTAGGAAAAGCTCATTGAATTTGTTTTTTTGATATCAAACAGTCCTCAAAAAAACCTTAAGAACAATTTTCGAAAGGTACGGCGAAATATTGGATATTGTTGCCCATGGGAATCTCCGAATGCGTGGGCAGGCTTTTGTCGTGTTCAAAGACCAAGAAAACGCAGCAAAGGCAATAAAGGAGGTTAATGGGTTTATACTTAAAGAAAAAGCAATGGTAACGTCGTCGTATCTAATTAGTTGTATTGAATGAAAGATAAACAATTTCATCTTGATTATGTTTGGCAATAGCTTATACAATACGCAAGATCAAAATCAGATGCTATCGCTATATCCGACGGCACCATCGAAGAACATAAACGACAAAGATTAGAAGCAAAAGGTACTTAATCAATTTTTTCTCGCATAAAAATCAATATAAGCACTAAAAAATTCAACGAATCTATATCCTCTTAATATCAAAAATAGAAAAACGCGCCAAAGAACCACCTCAAAAACGATTCAAGACAAGCCACTCAGGAGGTCAAGCAGGAGGGTCGGCAAGTGCCGCAGGCGGATCGGGAGGTGCAGGCGGAGGTGACACATTTCGTATTTATTACTCATGTTTTATCTTGTTAACCTCAACAAGAACTTTATTAATATTACTACTACTATGTATTTCGGATCAGCAGCTAGCGGTAATATCGCGGATGAGTTTCTCCCGCCCAATAAGATTCTGTTCTTGCAGAATTTACCGGAAGATATTACTGAAGCGATGCTTACTGGTTTGTTCCAGCAGTATGTATTTATTATTTTCTAACTATTGAAAGTATACAGTTGCAATCAAATACTATAAATAATGATAATTGTGATAAATTTTAGATATCCCGGCTTCAAAGAAGTCCGTACCGTCCCCGTAAAGAAAGAAATCGCGTTCGTTGAGTACGAGAACGAAGCACAGGCAATGATCGCCAAAGAAGCCTTATCCAATTATTCAGATCATAAAATTAAAATCACATTTGCAAGAAAATAAAAATAGAGGTTGCCTCACATCAACCATCGCCATCATCATTATCATCATCAACAGCAATCACCACTACCACCATTGATGGAATACTGGTTTGTTTTACATACATATCTATATACAGCTGCAGTTTTTTTATGTTTTTTGTGTAGAATGAATGAATGAGGATGATATAATACCGCAGAAAGGAAGAATGAATGATTGGGAATTTGATTGATTGAATCTCAAAAACTATTCGCGGCTAAGGTACGTCAACAAAGCCGTGAAAAAGGAATACTTCTAATAATTGTTCCCCCATTTCCTTCTTTTTCCCAAAGGCCGAATCTCCACTACATTATCATCCATCACATAACACAATTGTTCAGAAAACATCATCAATCATCATCAACTCTTCGAACAATCAACATCTTTTTCGTGATTGGCCATCATAAATTATGATGAATAATAGAATATCTGACCGAGAAATATAGATAGAAAATAATTTGCATATTTTTGGGTAAAGTATATCGGAAAATGGTAATATGATCTGATTGATATATATATATATATAAGCTTTTGTATGTTTTCTCCATCTTTCTATAAACACAAACATTATTTATATATTTTGTACATCTAAAACAAAACATGGAACAATGATGGTATAATATATATACGATAAAATAATTTCATGTCATTTTAATTTACAATATCTATTATTTTGTAGTAGTATTATTGTGATTATTTAAAATTGCTAGTGTTATTATTATTATTTAATTATTATTATCATTATTATTATTATTATTATTATCATTTATTTTATCGTTATCCGAGTGGCACGTTCAATGGATATGGTTGCATGTATATGGTATTATTTTTTGCTTTTTAATTGATAGCTCTTAAGGATTTCTACCAGATCTTTAATCAAGTGTGATTAATTTTTTTATATTAACGCTGAAATTTTTTAAAAGTGCATTATTTAAAATTGTATTTTCTCAATAAAGATTTCTGACGTAAAAATTATTCATTTATTTATTACAAAAAAAAACCTCTATATATATATATATATATATTTACTTCAATGATTCTATCTCGAATACAGTCAATTCCCTTGGACCCAATAGTAATTGTTTTCATGAATGTGATTATAATGGGGTTTTATGATGGATGTGCTTATAGAAAGGTGCTTTTATCATAGCTGGTTCTTGAAAAAAGAATGATTATAGCAGGGTTTATATAGAGGGGGGTGACTATAGAGGGCTTTGACTGTATCTATTTTCAAAAAATTCAATGTAAAGTGAATTTTTGGTTGTACCTTTGAAGTTTTATTTCCCATATTTGAATTCGCCGAAATATTTTTGGCGAATAGCAGCATGCGGATATTCAAATCTCAATTGTTCGAAGATGCTTCGCACGTGAAAATGTTTGTCACTGCCGCCATGGGCAACTTAATACATGCATTAGTGCCGGAGACGAGACTATTTCATTTATCATTTTAAATCGTAAACTTCACTAGGGATACGTGTTATCAGAATGACGCGCGTCACTACTTATCTTAAATCAACGCGTCGTACGATTCAGACATTTAAACAATTAGGAAACTATTGTATTATTATTATTATTATCAAATGAAGATTTCTGCAGTTGTATTTATATCTCTCTGTCTAGAGGATGTGATGCAGGTTTTTTGAATATAAATACAAAATATAATATAGAAATATAGAAGATGAAACAATAAATAAACAATTAAAATCTACTGTACATCATGTAGTTTTTTTTATAGGGATAACAAACCAACAAGGAAGGCGACAAAACTTAAATAAGCAGAAACTCTTAGTGAGCTGCCATCAGAAGTTGATTTAGTGTTAACAGTAGGATCATTGGATGATTCAGATCCCGATGCATTAGAACTAGAATCTGAACTTCCGGAGTTACCATTACCTGATGACGAAGATGTACTATTACCACCGCTGCTGCCACCAAGTAATGATTGATAAGGATTTTTGTCACCGAAACAGGTAGAAATTGGTTGTGGTTTAAAGCCGGCATTTTGGATCATTGGTAAAACGGTGGGAATGACATTCACGGAAATAGTATGAATATCATGTTCGAGTGAACAATGACCATGGTCAACACCGTTCGGCGGAGTCTTAACCCATTGTGTTACATTATTAATAATCCAGTTAGGATCAAATTTGTTTCCGGGAGCAGCAAGAAAATCTCCAGTATCATAATCCCAAAGTACAACTATATAACCGAGAGCTTTCATAACTGCACGTACACGATTATCAACATCACCCTGAGGAGGGCGCATATATTTAGTTACTATACCAAGTGTATCATTGATAATCTTTTCAGTCCATAACATTTCCGCGACAATTTGTTCATTGGTCAAAGTAGTCAACGGGGTATGCGACCACGTGTGCGCAGCGATATGATGTCCAGCTTTATACGTTTTCATCAAAGTATCTGGAAACTCGACAACACGTGATCCAACAATAAAGAATGTTGCCTTGAGCTTCGCGCTATCCAAGAGAGTTAATAGTTTACCAGTTTGTGATGAAGCAGGTCCATCGTCAAAAGTAAGACCCCAGTCTCCTTGATTCGGGCAAAAGTAAACATCATCTTTGGATTGGCATTGACTACAACTCCAGACGCAATTTGGGTCAGCTGCTCCTTTTGGAGGACAGTCTTGAAAATTTTTTCTTGGTGAAATATTTGGAACCTTGGATAAATCTACTTTTCGAAACCACGGTTGATTGGTTGGTGGTGTTTGATCCATTGGCGGGTATCCATTTAATGATGATTGTCCACTTCCAGGTGGTTTTCCTGAGGGAGTAGTCACTGCGGCAGAGACTAAACCAATTAGACTCAAGATAGTAAAGGTAATTTTATTGAATTTCATTTTTTGTTGTATGAGGTTCTATTTTATACGGTGAAAAGCGAGATGAGAATTCTTGTCGGGATTAGTGTTGTTGGAATCACCTTTAGGTATTCGGTATTAAAAGTCGGTTATCTTTTGTTTTTTCTTGGACCAGCCAGCCACTTGAAAGATAACAATGAAAGTGGGAGGGATGTTTACACGGCAATGGCAGGAAAGTGAAAGAAAGGAAGGGAGTCTATAAAGACTAATAAAAGTGGTGGTAACGACGAAAGGAAGTATAAAAAATTAAATAATATCTATTTAATTTTCCACGGTTATACCACTCACTATATAACGATAATATTTAAAAGGAGTCAAAGGACCTCTCGAACGGATTATCATGACTTTATAAATAGGAATCTTTTATGCATGTAATCGAATTGACATATTTTTATGTACATGATAATTTACACAACAAAAGAAGAAAAATGTATTGACCAAACGGACATCATGCTTCTATCACACAAACAAAAACACCAATATTCGATTGTTTTCTCGGGTTTAATTTTAATATATATTAAAACGAGATTGTTATAGATTGTTCATTATACCCTGCTACGTTATAGATGATAGCAAATGGTAACATGTATCTTCTGAAAGAATAAAATAAATATTCTAATTAATTAAAAGAACATTTTGATAATAGTCACCATGTGCGTAAAAAAATAGCCTCAAGAAATAAGGCGAATCAAAATCTGTTATTATTTCCGGAGAATTGATGTGCTTTATTTATACATGTAGATATACGGGCGATGCAAATCCCAATCTGGTTTCAAAGTACAGCCATAATACACTACATGTGTTATCGTTACATATAGCTTCAAAGGTACAACTGTAGGAAGAAGATCCCCAGTTCTTTCACATAAAAACTAATCATCAATAGTGATTATTATTATCTCAATTGCATTTGATTCTGTAAAACTGGAATGTGTGCCAGGTTCGTGCCGCAGCAATAAAATTATCCAAAAGTTGATATATACGTATAGTAAACATCCATTTCCCGTATTTTTCGCATTTTTCATTTTTTTGCGTCGGATTGTTTTGCCGGCTGATCAAAAATTCGCACATCTTTATTGGTTTGTGCCACCAGTAAATCGCACAAGAAAATGAGAAGCTTGAAAAGCCAATTTTATATATAATCTTGATTTCAAATCTAACCTAATCCTTTAATGGAGCTATTTCAGATCACATGACCCGACACCTATGGCTAGGCTACTAAAAACTGCAAAATTGATCGATTTTGAAAAAAACCCGGTGACTTTCGGACGTGATATCTCGACATCCAATGATCGGATTCGAGTGAAAGTGTCACCATTCGATTCCTTCTGTTGAGACGAATCGAATGGTGGCAATTTCACTCGAACCCGAGCGTTTAGATATCGCATCCGAAAGTCACCGGGTTTTTTGATAATATTCGATTTTCTATATATATAATAGTTAGAGTAAATGTACTTGTAACAACTGTTATTTGTAACAACCACATTTTAATTGGCTAATTAGGACCTGAGTTAGGGTTAGGGCTAAGATTCTGGATATGTGTTTGGTTAATATTGAAGTTGTTACATGTAACAGTTATTATAATTAGATTGATTCTAATAATTATATCTTTAATTTTTTGTATTTTATTTATAACCACAGATCACATGAATTTGTCAACTTAAATTCAAATCGTCTTTGATAATAAAAGATATATGTAAAAGTCAAAGCTGGAATACTTGATACCAGTTATATTGAAAATATTAAAATTTTATTTTACAATAATTCCAAAAACTCGCAAAACTTAAAATAATAGAAAGTCATAATGAACTTGAAAGTTTTCAATGTGAACAAAATGAATTGATTCAACTGGAAAATTTAATCTAAAAGAAAAAATTTAAAATTTAAAATTAAACAAATATGAAATTATATTAAATCAATTACTTTTTAAAATTCATAAAGAATTAAATAATTGGATATTGAAGTCAAAGAAAATTATACTCAATTAAAAGATTAATAGATTTTTTATTTTATATTTAAAGAAATAAGAACAAATAAATTAAATAAATTAGATAAATATTTATATAATAATAATAATCAAATTACTAAAAATTATTTAAATTATATATATATTAAAGAAAAAGAATTATACTAATAACTAAAAAATGCTTATTGAAATTCAAAAGTTTATTAAATTAAAATTATTAAATATTAGTTTAGCAAATAAAATTTAATTGTTAAAATATTAAAATTCAAAATGATATCAAAATTCAAAGTTCAAAGTTATATCAAAATTATATTAGAATTCAAAACAATGCTAAATTTAGTATAAAAATAATTATCAAAATTCAAATTAAAAATGAGTTTCTAAATTATTTTAAAGAAATAAAATTATAATATAAACTAGTTTTAGTTATATTTCTAAACTATTTTAATTATTTTTCTAAATTATATTATTAGTTTCAGAATTTATCTTTAATTCAAATAATATTAAATATTAAATATTTTTATTTTTATATTAAAATAAAAATAATATTTTTTATTTTTATATTAAAATAAAAATAATATTACATATTTTAATAAAGATGGTCTTCTAAATTATTTTTGAAAAAAATGTTATTTTGACAAATAATTCAATTTTGCTATGTTATTTATATTAATAAATACTTAAAAATCATTTAGAAATGCTTGTTTTGGTTTGTAGAATCCAAATAATTTTGAAAAATAATTTCAGCTACTAATAAAATAAGTCAAAATAATTTCAGATTTAATTTCAGCAAGTTAATTTCAGCAAATTATTTAATTAGATAATATTATTTCAGTAATCATTTTTATATTTTAACATCTATTTTTTAGATTTAATCTGATAAAGTTATTCTAATTGCATATAATATTGTCACTATATGATATTTTAGCATCTAATATAAAATATATCATATTATTTTAATATATTTCTATTGGATAATTAGTAAATATATAATCTATAAATTACAATTTCTTTTTAGTTCATACTATTTATTTTATATTTCATACTGTTTATTTTTATTTTATTTTATTTTTAATATATTTCATATTATTTTATTCTATTTTAAATATATTTCATATTGTTCATTTTATATTTTATACTATTTTATTTTATTTTATATTATTCATTTTACTTTAAATATATTTCATACTATTTGTATTTAATTCTTATTATTTTCATATTATTATTATTAGTATAAAAAACACATATTAATCAATCTTTAAAGATCAAATTAGCTTAATAATAATTCATAGTAATTAGTTACACTCAAACAAAAGATGTGAAATATTGAGACAAGTACTACAAAATAGTTTATAAAATGAATTAAGTCTCATTCTAAATAAAATAGATTAGTTTTAGATTAAAAAGATCTAGTAATGAATAATTATTATAAATATAGCATGTATTTTAGCTAAAAAAAATAGATAGTCTTTGATTAACTTAGTGTTAATAAAGTTTTTTTGCTTTTATTCTTTAATAAATATAATAACTAACTTACTGTGTGTTTGTTAGAAGAATTAATTACTTTGTGTTTTTTTCTTGAATAATAATAAAGATTATTGGTGAATTCAAATTGCTCCTTGGTGAAGTAATACTTGTATATTAAAGAACTTTGTGTTCTATCTTTTATAAATCTCTTTATAATACTTTCATAACTTTTTGAATTCTTGATAAACTCACTTTTATTTCTTAAAAACTTGTATTATTCTTAAAGTTCTTAGTGAACTTATTAGATTCTTTGTAAATTATTTAACACTTTGACTAACACATAATAGTATTAGAAGATTATTTCATACTTTGTTCATTCTTCTATGCTTTTTCACGTGAACATAGTTACTGTTTACTATATAGTAAAGATCTTTATCTGTAAAGGTTACTAATGTAATAATATATAAAATCTAAAGTTATCAAATATTTGTATTTTATAAAATATATAAACTTCTTTATTAAAAAATAAATACAAAATTTAATTCATAAACATGTTCAAAAAGAAATTATTCTATTATATTCACAGATTAAATTTTGTATTTACTTCTTAGTAAAGAAGTTTATATATTTTATAAAATACAAATGTTTGATGACTTTAAATTTTATGCACCACATAAAGTTAATAATTTTTTATATGTTTTAATTGTGAAAAATTATTGACTTTATATGTAATTAAAACAACTTTGTTAGATTAAATTTAAAAAATCTGAAAAAAAATATGTTAAAATATGTGATATTATCTTTATTTTAATATAAAGAGAAAACTCCATATTTTTTATATTTTACTATATTTTATTAATAAAATTTTTTTGCTATTGCATTTTTTTTACTATTACTGTATTTTAGATTTTTTCTGATTTTAAAATCAAAAAAAAAATCAAAAAATTTCCGTTTTTTCCAATTTTAAATTGGAACGAATCAGGAAAATAAAAAATTTCTGTTTATTCCAATTTTAAATCAGAATAAACCTGGAATTTTTTTATTATCCAGAAATTTTTCGAAAAAAAAACAGATTCGATTTTTTATAAAGAATGAATTGTACTTTGAAAAATACTACAGAAAATATTTTAAAATACTTTGTAAAATATCCTGAAATATTTCGGAATATATTAGAAGTATTCCAAAATATTTTTTTAATAAAAATTTTCTAATTAAAAAATCAGAAATTTTCTGAAATTAATTATCAGATGATTTTAACAATTTCCAGAACTAGTTAAATAATAAAAAATCATTTTAATTTATATTATAATTTTCAGTCTGTATCTTAAAATATTTATTAATACTAAAATTTAAATTTTTTATTTATTTTAGAAATTAAAGGTATCTTTTTTGCTATGTGTCTACAATATAAATGCAAGACTTTTTACTTGATATCGAAATACTTGAATTCTTCAATAGTAAGTACCCTGTGACAATCACTGGATTTAGAGTAAAAGTTTTCAGTTTTATTTTAAGAAAATTTCAGTTTTTACTATTGATTCAGTTTGTGTGCAAATTTGTACTTCGAATTTTCTCGATGTTTTGTGAATAACTCCAAAAGTTAAAACATTGATTGACGTTTTATGAAATTCTGCAATTTTGATCTAACGTACATAAAATTAGATCCATTAACGGGAGTATAACTCTTGATTCAACTATTACGTACAATCAAGTTCGTAACACAACTTTTTAGTCTCCCGCAAAATACAGAACACGCATGCAGAATATAAAGTTTGCAAATTTCGAAAGTCAAATTTTAATAATAAGTACAATTTTTACTTTTACAATTCTTTTTACTTTCACTCGAATATTTATTCTATTATTCGTTATCGATCTTGTTGAATATTGTAAAATATACTCACTTTTGTTATGATTCGTTATTTTTGTAATAAAGTCGGTTCGTCTTTCCCTCTCTCTATATGAAAAAGGAAGAGGAAATCTCCAATTAATATAAATTTACAATCGTATAATAGATTAATAATAATGCTAATATAGTTCAGAAAGAGAGTTAATGGAATAAACATAATCATTATTTTCATTAAAGGATTGGATTTTGCTCATCATGTCAGCATGTTTTAAATTCTTACGATAAAAAACAAACATACCTTAATCAATTTTATGAAAGTTATGATGGAAAAGAAACACAGTCTGGCATGTATTTAGCATCACTATCATCATCATTCTTTATACTTTGAACACCACCAAAAGATTAAATAAAAGCAGTAGAACTAAATAAATCTAAATTTTTTTTGATTTCATAATATTAAATAAAATATAATAATATCCACATAAAATAATAAAATATGAATTAGCAAAAAGATAATTAAGGGTATATGAATAAAAATTAAGAAAAATAATTTTGTAATCACACGATATTTTTCTCCCTATTGAATAGTAGAGTAGATTAAAATATGGGTGGCCAACTGAAAAGCAAGAAAAAAAGTTAAAATATAAATCAACTATGCAACTTTCAAACATACAAAATCCCACAAAAAGTAATAATGAGTCAAACGTACCTTTTTATTGACGATAGACAAACCCTACAAGAACTTACATAAAAAATTTTAGTTTACATAATGAACTAAAATAAAGAAAACTACCTTATTTCTCTATATTGTCAATGCATAATGTCTTCCATCATATTCCTTAATATTTAGCGTCTTTCTCTCTTTCTCGCCATATTTTGCATTCTGGTCTCAGCTGCCTCACGCGATACTAGTTTGAAATATAGAACAGGGATGGTAGTCGTCTTGCTGAATAATTTGTCCAACGATAGATGTGAAACGTTTTGCTGAGAGGATTGCTCTGAAATTGTTTTTATATTATATGGTCAAGGTATGGATGGAGGAGGGGTGGTTGTTATTTTATTATATTGAATTTTTGGCAAATGATAAAAAATACAAAAATATGAAATTACAATTACGATTTCCATTAGAACTTGATTTTATAGCCTGCGATCGATCTGAATTTTCATTGGCTTCTTCTTTCTGAATAGATTCGAGAGCCTGTTCGTAGTTTATAAAGTCGAGTATTAATAATCTTCCGGTCTCTGGCGGCCATTTGACATTCCACATTTCATTTCGAGTTTTAACTGCAGAATCAACTGTTTCGTACTATATGATCATATCATCATTCGAAAATACCATTAGAAAGAGAGAATGAATAAAAAGACATGACTTTTAAAAAACCCGATTTATGATGTTACCTTTACATAACAATGGGATTTAATCTTATTCATCCAAAAATACTCTATTGTACCAAATTGTTCCAAAAGTGTACGAACAGCAGTTAATGTTAAAGGACGAACAAAGTTTTTGATGTAAAGTGTCGAAGTGGGTTCATGCTCAGAAGGTGGAGGCCCTTTAAGACATTATGAGAATGCAAAAAATATGTTTAATTATCGTGATATTAATTAAATAGTAACATTATTAGTATTAGTATTTATTCAAAACCTTCTTGTGATTGCTTGCCCTTGTTATTTGATTCATTCTGTGATGCCGATTTAGAGTAGATAAAAAATAAATATTTTGTTATACATAAGCGATTGTGAATTTATTAATCAAAGAGCTGCAAAAAAATAAAATTAACCTTGTCATGTTCTAATTTTTCTGTAGAATCGTCCGATGGTTGAGGTAATTTGGAAATATCCAGTATATCCTTTGATTTATATATAAATATTATTTTTGTTTAAAATTAACTTAAAAAAAATCAAGATGAAAAAATTAATACTTTAAGGCTCTCTGTAGTGATTACTTCATCGTCAGGATCTTGTTGAAATTTAAGATCTAAGCTTGTTGTTGTTGTTGTTGTTGCTGCTACTGCTGCTGCAAGCTTGTTTGACTCATCGACACTTGAACGGTGTGTCTTCAAAACTCGACGTTTTTTTGGAGGCCCATCAAGCTCCTGTTCCGCTATTACGTCTAATTAATGAATGAATTTCATTCTAATTATTATCAGCGAACATATTCTATAAAAGTTAGACAACAAACTATCGAAAGCCAAACCAAACCTTGAGCAGAATCGGTCATTTTTGACAGAATTAAAGCATAAAATTTTATGGAAACAAACAAATCGACAAAAAATAAAAGTTTGATATTTCTATTCGAAAGATAACTCCAAAAATATGTGCATATAACGATAACGATAACGATAACGAAATAGAGGTCGTTATTCGATTGATCGAACGCAAATCGAATTGAAGTATCACATGATGTAAAATAAACATCTAACGTGTCAAATTGCCAACCGCGAGATTTTCAGTGATACTCTTCAAATGGAGGAATTTAGAAGACGCAATACTGGTATACCACGAAACTACGAGAAACTCCCCTCAAAAGATCAAAATGAAAATGGCGAAAACAATAAGACGTATAAGGCTATGGCATATAAACCTACTCGTCCAGGAATTAACAAGGTATTGCTCTTTCTTCCTTTGAAATTGCATAATTAACTAACTGACGCTTTTCATTCCAAAGTATATAGATCTTTTACGAGAACATCAAGATATTACTATTCCAATTTTCTTTACTTTGCTTTCCTTTTGGACGCGGTTTTATTTAATTTCTTATTCCAATATCGTTGTATGGGATGAGGTAAGAATATACTTTTCTTTTACATTTAATAATAATAATGAAACCAATTGATCAAATAACCTTTCGAATTATAATGGATATTTTCTTCTTTAAATTGATTAAATGAAGGCACATTTCGGAAAGGCAAGTATTTTTTTTTCCTTTCCAATTGTAATTATTGGCGTAATAAAATTTTAATCAAAGGTGATATAATAGTTTGCATCGCATTATATCAAGCGGGAATTTTATTTTGATGTACATCCACCGCTTGGGAAAATGCTTGTCGGGTTAGCAGGACTACTTGCCGGCTATGACGGTTCATTTGAATTCAAGTCCGGTGAGGTTTATCCTGATAATGTAAACTATACATGGATGCGAATATTCCTATCCTCGTTTGGAGCATGGATGGTTCCATTGGCGTATTTCACCGCGATTGAATTAGATTACTCGCAACAGTCAGCAATTCTTGTAACCTTATTCGTTTTATTAGGTAGGAAATGACCCGAACAATAAGTAATTAATTTTTTAGACTCCTCCTAAATAGTGACTTGTTAAGTTCCTCTTTACTCAAAATCTACAGCCAAATATCCTTGTTATAGACACGGCATATATATGTATTAGTCGATTCATACTACTCGATTCCATGCTTTTGTTGTTTACTTTCACTACCGTTTTTTGTTTGACAAAATTTCATAACGAGCGTAAGAAGTAAGTTTTGAACTCTTGAAATTATTTATCTCCTTTTAAATTTTACTTTTATATATTAATTTGATTGTATTCTACACAGTCCATTCTCGGTAGATTGGTGGATTTGGCTTACATTAACAGGAACCTCGATTGGATGCGTCTCAAGGTGAACAAAATTCTTATTTATATATGATGAATTTTATTTCACATGTTTATTGTGTTCAAACGTCTATCTCTTTAGTGTTAAATGGGTGGGATTGTTTGCTACTGCTTTGGTCGGTTTATATACGATAGAAGATCTATGGAATAAGTTTGGTGATTTAAGTATGCCAAAGGTTCGCTTTTTTTCCTCATATAATTGAATCTTTACATTTTTCGGACGACGAAGTCACTTTACTCTGACTTTTTAATAGATTGTTTGCTGTCAACATTGGCTTGCGAGAATTGGATGCCTTATCATCTTACCGATTACTGTTTACATGCTTACTTTCGTGATCCATTTTGCAATTTTAATTCATAGCGGACCCGGTGACGCCCAAATGAGTTCATTATTTCAAGCCAGTCTGATTGGAAATGATTTTGATCAGAATCCTCTCGGTAATTCATTTATCCGTTCGATTATTATTCATTTAATTATTTAATAATTATTCATTTATCCATTATTTAATAATGATTCATTTATCCATTATTTAAGAATTGGCTTATGGATCAAAGATTACACTCAAAAATATGGGATACGGTGGCGGACTTTTACATTCTCACGTACAAACTTATCCTTCTGGATCCGAACAACAACAGGTTACGTGCTACCATCATAAAGACAGCAATAACGATTGGATTGTGAAAAAGCCTCGAGAAGTTGCTTGGTCAGAAGACGACGAAATAGAATTCGTAAAGAATGGAGATTCAATCCGGTTATTTCACGCATCAACCGGTCGTAATCTTCATAGTCATATGATTGCAGCACCTGTCACCACTTCCCTATGGGAAGTGAGTTGTTATGGTAACGAGACGATTGGTGATCAGAATGACTATTGGGTGATTGAAGTCGTTGATGATTTATACGAAAAAGATTTACAAACTGTCAGATCCTTGACTACGCGTATACGCTTTCGACATATAAATATTGGTTGCTATCTGCGTGCGGATAATGCTGTTTTACCGCAGTGGGGATTTAAACAGATTGAGGTCACTTGCGATAAATCAAATAATACAAAAGATGCTTATACTCATTGGAATATAGAACGTCATTGGAATGATAAACGTGATTATTTTTTTTTGACATTTGATTATTCGTTTTTCGAAGTAATCATTATTTTTATTTGCTTAAACGACTTATGATTTATTTAGTTCCACCTGGTCCGAAAGCAAAATACAGATCAAAATTTATTCATGATTTTTGGCATTTAAATGTTGCCATGTACACGTCCAATAATGCACTTGTTCCTGATCCTGATAAAGAGGATATTCTCGCGTCTACACCAGATCAATGGCCACTCTTGAAAGTTGGTCTGAGAATGTGTAGTTGGGCTGATGATGTGGTTAAATTTTATTTATTGGGTAATCCGGTTGTCTGGTGGTCCGGCTCGCTCTCATTGGTCATCTATTTGATAAGCTTAACGTGGTATTTAATAAGACAACAAAGGAAATACATTGATTTTCCGAGTAATGGTGATTATTATTTTCGATTATCGTCTTTTTTATTACATCAATATTATTTACTAAAATTTCTTCTAAAATCCTTATAAGCACAATGGGATCATTTTTTATATATCGGAAAAGTTTGCGGAATTGGCTGGTTATTGCATTATCTACCATTCTGTATAATGGGACGTGTAACTTATCTTCATCATTATTTCCCAGCTTTATATTTCTCTATTCTTATGGTCGGATTTCTGTTTGATCATTTCACCGTATATCTCGCTGGTAAAACACGACATATTGTATTCGGAACATGTTATTTTCTTGTGTTTGCCGTGTTTTGGTTCTTTAAGGATATCGCCTTTGGAATGGATTATCCTGCTATCGAAATATCAAATCGAAAGTGGCTAAGCACATGGAATATCGTAGATTAATTTATAAATAGATCGACTGCGATCTCTATACGCCTACGTTATCGTCATCATTAGTTTAATTTTCTTAACATTTAATTAAATTATTTAATTATCAATTATGAGCGATATGAATATCTTGACAAGAGGTGAAGAAGAGAAACTTGTTCAATCCTTGAAAACGAACGCGCTTAAAAAATGTGCACCACAAATTCAAGGTTATTTATTTTTTTTAGTTCAAATTTTGTTGATTGCTACATAAGGAACAGACGATTAAATTTTTTTCGTTTCTCAAGAGTTTGTGGAGTGTAGTTCTGGTAGAATGATCTCTGTTGTATGGGCCTGTCGCAGTAAACTAAAACTAATGAATTCGTGTTTAAAAAATTTGTAAGTCCTAAGAATACGAGGAATGAATTATTGATCGATGGATTATTGTTAACTCGTTATCTTTGCCAAAAATCACAGTACTACTGAAGAAGAACGCGATAAATTAAAATTGAAGTATATTGCTAGTCGGAAAAATCAGTGATACTAATAAAATATTAACGTAATCTTTTTAATTATAAAATCGTCTCAAATTGCTTGTATATTGCGCAATAATTCTACCTATATAAATAATTTAAAGATAAACTTTTCGAGCAATAAAGAGATAACGTAAAAAAATATTTGATATTATAATAATAATTCTCTTTCAATATGGGAAATAGTATTCCCAAATAACTCACTCTATGTTTTTGTAATATTTTTGCCTTTCCTTTTAATAAAGCTCAAGTATATATATAATCAACACTCTTTATAATCACACTATCAGTAATTTTTTCATTAATATAATTATAAGGTGATTTTATAATAAATATATTTATAGTAAAATGCTTTTATTATAATTGATTCTTGAAAAGAGTAATTATAGCAGAATTTTATATAATGTAACTAAAAAAGAATGATTATAGAGAGATTTGGTTATATCAATTTCTTTTTTATGTTATTTAATTAATATTTGAAGTTTTCAAAATATAACAAATATTTTTGATAATTTACAAACTTTTTTCTTACAAGTATATTGATCTTATTTATAGTTGCAATAATATATTTAATTATAATATTATTTTGTATTGTATGAGTCTCATGTGTTACTTTTCTTATTCATCAAGTTAAACTAACGAGATATTTTAAATATTTTATAATAAATACATCAAGATTGTTATATCGAATAAATTATTAGATGGCTGGCATTGTGACTAAGCTTCGCCACATTGTCTTAATGAATATAAGATCTTATCCCAATATTTGTTTTATCTTAATCGAAAGTTCGTTTTCTTGACATGCAATGGTATTTTGTCATTTATAATTCAATCCGTAAATACAATATAAACTTCTGAACTCGGTAAATTATGTAATAATTAATATCTAAGAATGTCCTTACTATACCCTGATAGAAGTATAAAGTAAATGAAAGATTAATGGTGATTGTTTATTATACAGTTTATTGTTGATTGCAATTTATGGCATTCTCTTCATCGCTATCATCGTCAACATGGTTCTCTTCTTCGTCCCATACATTGCCAGATTTTCCGTTTTTATTTCCATACTTATTAATTGAATATTAATTTATTAATGTTAATTTATTGGTAGAAAATAAAAATTCATAAAATCAGATGTTAGATTTTACCTGAGAGAGATCACTCTCTATTAATTGTACTTCATCTACGATATCCTTAGGATTTCTTTTTTCTTCTGGTAGCCGTTTAGGCAATAAAGACTCGATGACCTAATTCGAGTTTTATTTTTAAATTATTTATCGTCACATTAATTGACAAATTTTGTATTGCTTTGCCCACCTTCAAATTATCGGGAGTAGTCCACATTGAATTCGGCAATTCAACAATGAATTCGATGTAAAGATTCCCTTTGTCAAACGGCCGTTTATATGTCGGCATGCCTTCATTCACTACACGTTTGATTTCATTAGGTTTAATAACTTCACCGGCTGGTTGAGTTACCACTAATCCACGTTTGTCCAGGTGTTTTAAGAGCACTTTGGAGAAGCCGCAGAGAGCTTCTGTTAGGGAGATTGTTACTTTGGTTTTCAAATCATTTTCTTGACGTTCAAAATTAGGATGAGGTTTCTGTTCCAGAATAAGAATTACATCACCGGTTTCCACGCCTGGCTATATTCAAAATAGAAAATTTTTTCAATGAGAAATTATTCGACCAAACCTATTACCATTGTATAGCGAGCTAGTTAATTTCCCCTCTTACCTCTTGATCAGCTTCTCCTGGCATAATAATTCGTTGACCATGATGCATACCCTTATCTATAAAGATCTCCAAAAATTTCTTTTCTTTTATAACTTTTGCTCCCTTACACTTTTTACATTTATCTTTTTCTTTTATCACTTCTCCCTCGCCTTCACCTGAAATTTTTATAAAAAATAAAATTAACTATTATTACCATAATAACGCAAACATATAAACGATGATATTAATGAGAATAATTCCTACAATTCGGACAAATTGCCTGCATCCTCTGAATCATTCCAGGCCCAATTTGGCGCATGATTACTTTTTCACCTCTTCCATCACAACTATGACATTTTTTCCTGGCCCCCGTTTTACCTCCTTTGCTGGTAATTGCAAACATTGAGGAATTTAGATGATTATACATAATAAAATAAATAAGTTGATTCTTAAATTACGAAAATACCCGTGACAAAGAGGACAAACGACGTCTTTCTGCAAAGAAATTTTCGCAGTTTTTCCATTATACAAATCCTCTAATGTCACGTTGAATGGTTTTATAATATCTTCACCGCGCCTTTGTCTTGCTCTACCTATCATCATTTATTATAGAAAAAGATTGGTTTATACCGATAATCTACAGTTAAGTTGAATGCTCGAATTTGATTGTACCTGTATTACCTGGAAATCCTCCAGGACTAAAACTGAAAAAACTAGCGAATAAATCTTCAGGGGACAAACCACCACCGCTGCCTGATAGTCCATCTTCTCCATATTCATCATACGCTTCACTGTAGTAATGTTATTTATGGATGAGGAGAAGAACTTTTAATACTTACGTAAAAAATTACTTCGAATAAAAAAAAATATAGCATCGATCGATCAAAAAATTACCGTTTTTCAGGATCACTTAAAATATCGTATACATGGCTAATTTCTTTGAATTTGTCTCCAGCATTTTGATCCGGGTTTTTATCTGGATGAAATTTCATGGCCTGTCGTTACGCGTAGTGGCAATATATTTATTAGGTTTAATAATGCATTTCAAATCATGAACTCTGTCATTTACGTATAGTCCACCGAAGCCGGAATTGGAGGCTTTTTCTTTCTTTTCTCACTTTGATAGTGCAAGTTCAAGCAGTGATTGAATTTTATTAAAGACCGTAGTCAACACCATTCTTTGAGAATTTCAATACTTGTATCGGTCTTATGAGCATTTGCTAAAATTAGGAGCCAACTTCTATATAACAACTAATATGATATATAATAGAAGCGAATAACTTACTAACTTGCGGTAGGCCTAACAAAGTAATAGATCAGTAAGTTTCAAGTGAAATGAAAACTTGAAAAAATATAAAACAAACCTTTTTAAGTTCATTGTCTGAGGCATTTGGCTCGACGCCTAATATATCGTAGTAATTGGTGTGTTTCATATCGAAGACCAAAAATGTGTATGTATTGTCTGATAAAAAAGAAATTCGATTAGATTTATGTAGAGTTGGTTGACCCAACTATTTGCCACATGATCAGTTAATAACCTTTTAATTTAAAAGAGAGCAAAAAGAATATTTTATTGACAAGATGATCTTACCAAATGCAATTTGTAAAAATAATTCAATAAAGCCAGTATTTGATATATTGATATATAATACTCCTCATAACCAGATAATATTAACCACTTGATTTGTATTGTTACATAATTGAGCTCGATATATGGCATTGAATAATGACAAAATATATTCATGAAAATTTTTACATTTATTTACTCTAATGATATGTGAACTAAATGATTATTAGAAAACCTTAAGGCTTCAATCTATACTGGTACAAATATTCATAATCCGCTTGATTTTGCTGTATTGCTTCATGAACAATCGAGGGATATTTGTAATCATGAAATTCCTTGATATTATTTTTGTCAAGTCCAACACTTTGTTCAACGGTTCTAAAAGCCAAAATTATTATAAGATGTGCCTTTCTAATTCGATGACAAGAAAATAGAAGAAATATTTACTGATGCCAGCCTTCCATTCTCTCCCATCCTGGAACTTTGCCGGCATTCCAAGTCAACATTGATTCTTCGAATGATATTCCTACCAGTTTACAGTATTTCGACATGCATCCATGAGGATCCTGCAAGAGATCATCAGCATCAAGCAAAATAGGTGGTTGCCCAAGTTCATCTATAGCATAATCAAAGAGTTCCCGAAGTTCCTTTATTCCAACCTCATTTGGATCGAACTTATATCCATGCCAAGGTGAATCAAGATTATCTCCTAAAGAGATTGTATTTCGATAGAATGATTTCACAGCTTTTTCTGGCTTTCGAATAAGAAACGTATGTATCATTTCTGACATTATCTCTCTTGAAAAAACTCCATCACCATTAGGTCCATAATGACCTTTGATATAACTCGCAACCTCCTTGACAAATACTCTTTTAGAATCATCATCATCCTTTTTGATGATCTTGTGTATGACTGTTGAATATGCTTCTTTACGAATATTTATGTTAACACCTGAGTTTATTAAATGTTTTCCAAAGCCATAAAAATAAGCTTCACAAAATGGTTCATGAAAACAAACAAATTCATCAGAACGTTGAATAAATGAACGTTCGAATGCTGATGAAACAGTACGTGGATGACACCAGAGAATGATGGGTTTGCTATTATTACCAAGATTTTGAATAGATGGAATGGTAGACATCTTAGATTGGATTAAATTTTTGCTCAATAGAAAGTATTTCTGGCTTATATAAGTACCCTCACTGGGTGATTATATGGAAAACTTGTAAAAATAAAATAAAATTACCCCCCGAGAAACTTTTTTAAAGACGTAATTGCGGTTATTCAAAGGTTGTTGCACTATGCAATTTCCTAATTTTGGTAAGATATGAACTAATTAATTGATGAATTGCACATATCGATATTTCTTCTCGATTGAACTTTAATTTTCAAGTCAATCCAGGAGTAATGCTACTTCCAGATTACACGGAAGGTCAAGCTGACCTTTCCACTCTCGAAAAGTCGGTTCTGTTATCAGCGCCCATTATATTAAGTGTTAAAAGTGGAGAATGGGTTCATCAGGTCTCTCTAGATAGTGTTTTTTAGTTTAAACACTATTTTTTAAGCATTATCTATTTTGGCATTCTGGCTTAATTACAGCGCATCTTGTTGATATATGGTCGAGCGGGTGTTATAGATTTTCCAGCAAACTGTAGTATCACTGTAAGCCACCATAAAAATAACTTTCCTTCAACTTGTTGGCCTGTTTATCGTACCCACTTCAAATGTCTTGTTCATCTTGATCCAGGTTAGTTTAGTACCTTGGAGAAATTGTAGAATTTCATGATTAAAATGTGTTTTTTTCTGAAACTTGTGAATTATCAATGTTGATTATATTCTTGATATAATCTTTTGTCTATATAGGTCAAAATGATTTAATATTCACACTGAATGTGCCAAATTTCCATTATGATCGGCCATTATCGACTCCATTCAAGATCAACTATATACCATTATTGCAGAATCCTCCGTTACATTTAGCTATTTTATTGAGTAAGGATTCGAAATTAGTAATCGACGCTCCTCTCGAAAAACAGAAAACTCATGAACATGAGTTGGATTCTGTAAAGGCAAAACTTCGATGTGCTGCTTATTTGTGGCAAGCATTTACTGCGGAACAAATGTATCGTAATGGTTTTGGAAGAAGGTGAGATCATGATTGTTATGGATATTATATCAAAAATTATTTTCTTAGCTTAAGGCATTGATTGCGCTGGTGTTTTTAATGTCATTAAACTAAGATAAATAATTTTATTGTCTTGGTAAAATGAAAATTTTTTAATTATCATTTTCTTATTATTGCTGTGCTTAAGAGTATTTCGATTAGATGAAGATTGGGAGCAAGGTAAAAAAAAAAAAAAAATACAAATTATGTGTGTATACTTTCTCTATTAATCTAAATTAAATTATTCGATAGATACTATCACTAATCAAAACGATTCATTACGACAAACTGCCAAAATACATCTTATTCGTACAAATTATACTCGCGAGGAGTTATTGGATCCCGAAAGAGCTCAACAATATCATCCACCACCAGGCACTCCTCCAACTAAGAAAAAAGATTTATTTGTTATATTCCTTGAAGCTCTCGCTGAATATGGGAAACCTTTCGATAATGATTGTTATGTGGCTGGATTAATTCTTGATACTTATTATGATCCGAAAATGAAATTGATTCGTGGACATGCTGCTTTGGGTAAGTAATTTTCATGGTTTTTTTTTTATAGATATATTGTTGAATAATAAATAAATATCCTATTTTGCAAATAACTACTTTTTCGACTATAGGTGGTGGTGCTGGACACGTGAGATTAGGAATCTTTGGAAGTCATACAACACACGCCTGGCCGAGGTATCTCGAAGAAGTTGTTGAATGTTTCCAAAATAGCACAAAGACAGATGAACGAATTTTGGCCAATGATAATGGGGAAAGCGAGACATGGTGGAAGTGTTGCAATATTGGTATAGGAGCCATGGTAAGTATTGATTTCCTTGTTTTTATATATATATATATATATATTTTTAAGAGATTGAGATGAGTATTTGACATCTATTTTTTATTGTTTAACAAATTAGCTTCACGAGGTTGGACACGCTCTGACTTTACCGCATTCTCTCTCGGGTAATAATTAATATCCATGCCTTGGTCTATTTAATCGAATATTGATTTAATTGAAAACGCAATAATTTGATAAATAGGTATTATGTCACGCGGATTCAACAATCTTAATCGAACATTTACAGTAAAGGAGCCGGATAATATCACTCCTATCACGCCTTCGTTAGAAAATGGAGCACATTGGCATAGATGTGATGTCGTTCGTTTTAGATTTCATCCGTGTTTCAGACTCTCGTCCGATCCACCTAAACGACCTGAACTAAAACATTTTGCACCTGATTTCTGGTTACTAAAAAACTCTGTTTTAATTTGCTGTGGAACTTGTGACATTTCGTTAATCGAGGTACACGTGAACGGTTCTTATGTGCATCATTTTGAATACGTCGACGGAATGAGTACCGGAAATATTAAATTGAACGTTGAGAAATTGAAAGAATCTATAAACTGGCGGGACGGACAAACAATTCGTCTTCATGTGATTGCTCAAAATCAAAATGAAAATACCATAGAGAATTTCGAATCATTCCTAAAAAATCATCATATTCATTTGTCGACTGGGATGAAAGCATTCAAATGTGGAAAAGTTGGACTTGGCGGTGGTCAAGAATTTCAAACTTTGTTTCAAAAACAAATCACTGCAAATTCATCTCGACAACGAAAACAACAATCTTCTAATAACCAGTCTGCTTATTTAACAAAAATATGCATTAATGCGGGTGACTTTATTGATGGAATAACATTTTGTTTCTCGGATAAAACATCCACAAGACATGGTGGTCAAGGTGGATCGACATTTGAATTCGAGTTGTTTGAGGGTGAAAAAATTGTAGAGATAAAAGTGAGATCTGGCGCGTGGATTGATGGCTTGGAAATTTTTATGAACAGTGGTCGCACTTCTGGGTGGATTGGCGGTACCGGTGGCTCTTTACATTTGCTTAAAGTACCAGACGCTTATGATATTATCGGAATATATGGAAGTAGTAGTTGGGTGATGGATTCTTTCGGGATCATCTACGCTCCGGCAGATCTTAGTGATATTATGTCGCAGCTATTCATTAATTACTAACCCTTCTAGCAGTTGATCAGTGCACCTGTTGATAATCACAGGAATTCTAATTTTGGTTTTTGTTTATTTATTCATGTCTATTTATTTGTTTGATTGTTTAGTAATTTATTTGTTTGATTGTTTAGTAATCCGTATATTTATTTTATATTTGTTTATCAACATTCATGATGGGAGATAATTCTCAAAATCAATCAATAAAGAGATATATCATCAACCCTTAGCACAACTTTAAGCAATTTTTCAACCTCCATTAAAATTTTACGACTAGTACAGAAAACAGCCACACAAATAAAAAAATCCGTAATAACCAATACAACACCAGCTAACATAAACCGTGGGGCGAAAACTTTCCAAACCATCAAATGCCTGGAAAACCAACATCCCGCCCAAAAACTAGTACTTACTGCGATCAACGTCTGATACAATATATATAATAAGATTGTTCGTAAAAGCCTTGAATATATCATCAATGATGAGAGTGACCTTGTATTTTCGTCGTCAAAAATGGTTGGCGAAAGTTTCCAAAAAACTATCAATGGGACAGCGATAGATACCAAAATATGTGACCCTAATGTGTTAATAATCACTAGAATTGGAGAAATGATATAATTGAGTTCGGCGATTCCTATAAATCCCGCAGACCATTGTATCGAAGGCAGTGTTGCTTGATGACCAGTTGAAAAGAAATAATGTGTTGCAAGTAATCCTAGGATTGTGATCTCTAGTATATTTTCGAAACCAGTATTAAAAGTAGTGGTGGTAGTAATGGAATTGCCTAATTTTTGTGCATCGCGTTTTGCATCAATAATTTCCACAAGAGTCATAATTTGCAAAAGAATCAATGAAATCATAAGACTACCCATCGGCTTTTGCGTGATAATGACCGTCAAATATATTGTGGTCAAGTAAAGAAAATAACTAGCGCCAAACACATTTGAATAGCCCGAAACTATGGTGCGTTTCCGCAGTTTGATATTAGATCGTTTTTTACCAGCATTATCATCATCACCATCATCATCCTCGATCATTTTTACATCTAAACATAATGGGTTTTTCCACCACGCTATATTGCCCACTATTAACGCGATCCCAAAAGCCATTCGTGCAATAAAATCATGAGCCCACTTTCCTACAAAGTTAGTCGAATTAGATGTAGTAGTAGTAGTAGTAGTAGATTCACGCAAATTCTCACTGTTATCTAAGAGCCAATAAGCAGCTGAGAGTATCAACCCAGCTCTCAAGAACCAATCATTCCATATTGGCGCAAATCCATTATAACTTTTGGTGTTATTGAATAAGGATCGAATGAAGTAAGGCATAATGGGTCCGGTGGCTACTAAAGCTATTAAAGCAGTCGGGGGAGATACTGATGTCGAAGCACTAGCATAAAAAGTAGGTGTGCAATATAGCATTTGCTCTTCACGGCAAATAGTAGAATAGGATGCAATCCGAGTCAACAAAAGAAAAATTGAGCTGAGAAATAAATGTCTTTTTCGTAATAAACTATGATTGTAAATATTATTTTTGAATCCGGATATAAATGTCAATATTCCAAAAGTCTGTAAAATAAAAAGGACAATACTATCTTCATAGACTGTGTAGCTATTTGAAGCAAATGAGAGAACGTGTAAAATTTGAAATAGTAATGCCAAAAATTTGTCAAAAGAAACAAGAGAAAATTTGTTTCTGTATTCAAAGAACAAACCACCTCGCACATGATAATAATGATGCACAAAGAATCCGATGATAGATCCAAATGAGGCTCCAAATATCATAACATCTAGTCTTGTAAATATTGAATCTTTTATGACTGGATATAGTAAAACATGAATTAATCTTGCAAATATAATTCCAAGTACACCTCCAGTAAAAACCCGTGAAACTATTTTTTGATTTTCTTTCTCAATTGATGAATTGTCTCTCAACACATATATGAAAATACATACACAACTCAATATTAGCACTGAAATTCCAGATATCATTAAAGGAAAATCAAATTGTGCCCATATACGACGACATGTGGTGAGTACCACTCGCATGAAAATCATGTAATTCAAATACAAGTTCTCTAATTCTTCTGATGATATCTCAAATGACTTTCTCATTAAATCATACTGATTTTCTGCATTTTGATATAAATTATCAAGAATGTGTATAGATTCTTTGGATAATTCGCTAGTCGGTTGTAAACGTGAATATTCTTTTAGATATCTGTAGACTTGATGAGCATTGAGTCGAACAGCATCCAATAAAGTTTTCCAAGAATCGTTTATACTACTTGTAGTCTCTTTATCTTTGAACAGAAGAAATATTTCTGGTATTACTGATCCGAGATTGTTGTATGGAATTGGTAATCCAAGTAACAATGATAAGGTGGGGACAATATCAATCTGCGGTATAGAGCGCCATTGATCAAATTGACCGGTAAACGAAGAACGTTGTCCGGGAAAATTATCATCCAATTGTTTAAGAACATTCGCAAGATTTTTTGTCATATGAGAATCTAGAAGTTGTTGTTTCTTACTATAAATAAATAAAGCTGATTCCACTTCATTATCACTATCGCCACCGTGATCTCCTTTCGAATCCATTCCATGATCACCCATGACAAGTAATAGTGTATATTTATCCATCAATTCAATTACATTCTCGATCATTTCACTCATCTGTGTCAATTTTGCCGCCATCGCAGGATGATCAGGACCATAACGATGACCACAATGATCAACACCAAGAAAATGAGCAATAAGAACATCCCATTCACTGTCTTCGTCTTTCCATGGGGGATCTTTTTTCTCAAGCGCGGGACTCAGTAATTGTAGAATACCATCGTCTACTCCGTGAAGGTCTTTTACATTAAAAGAAGGGAAGGGAAAAGTGTGATTAGAGTCTAGTTGCTCAGGGAATAACGATGTCCAAGTATCGTCTCCCATAAATGCAATATTTTGGCCATTCTTCCATAATTGATATATTAAATTGTCTTCATCTATTGCGGATCCGGCGAAATTAGTTCCGGCATCGATAAAAGTGGGAAGAGTGCCTGTTGTCAATGCTTTTAGCCGTTGTAGAGTAGTTGTAGGTGCATCCGCCACATATTGGAATAACATGGCATTTTCGGGTTCTTTTGTCAGCAATTTATTGAATATAGAAAGTTTATTGTGATAAAATTCAGAATGTGTTTTATTATCTTCATGATGTATTGCGAAATCAAATCTCAATGCGTCAATTACGATCAACACTACTTTACTAAAACGTGGCCATTGCCAGCATTCATTAAATGTGGTTGTTCCTTCAGCACCTGCTGTCGGCGTTGTTATACAATTGCTTCGATTATTTAATGCCAAACGAGTAAGTAAGAAGCCACGAGTGAAAAGATAAAGACCAGAAACATGCAAAAACATTAACCATAGACACAAAAAAGTCAAGAAAAAGTGTCTTTTCCTGCTATTTTGATCAATAAATTTTGATTTTTCATGACTACTACTACTATTATTACTATTACTATTACTATCACTATTATTATTATTATTATTATTATTTGAATGCGACTGTTGTGAGGACCTCGAGTCCCTCCTATTTCCTGGCATGCTACTCATGAGAGAATTATTACGATTATTAATAAATTATTGTCGTTATTCTCTTGACGATTCGCGAGGTCATAGTCGAGTAAGGTATGAGGATTTGACACGCATGTTCTTGCTAAAATCAAGAACTTGTCATTTATCAAAATTGTACGTGTTTTCTTCTTTTTACATTACACAAGATCAAATCAGGGGCATGTCTAAAGCCTGGTCCATCCGAAAAATAACGGAAAACAAATGCTTAAATCTATCTTGGTATACTAATAAAAAATGTCGGGGAGGCAATTTTATATAATCTTGATCACAACTCTAACCCTAACCCTAACCCTAAGCTTAAAATCAATCTTTAATTATATAGTTATGTATCACGTGATGGACCAGGCTTTAGACGTTCCCCAAATTAGGCATTTTATAAGTTACTATATCTAACCAATGGGCCGAGGTCCTTATGTGGGACCCATTAATTGGACATATTAGATGTTATAAAATTCAAAAAATCAAATTGGCCCATGAATAGCAAATTCTGACTAGACCTACTGTTTAGTACTGTATATAGTATCCGTGGGTATTGTGAAACTGGGTATAGTCCGGTGCAAAAAGATTTGTACCTCAAATAATCATTAATTTTTATTTGAGGTACAAATCTTTTTGCACCGGACCATATTATATATTTAGGGGGTATATTGTCTATATAATCATGGGGGATACTATATACAGTGCTAAACGGCAATTGACTGTATCAAGTGTATTCGTGATTCCCATATTCGTAATTGCTATCCTAGGAACTATGATCAATTTATTTATAACAAATAATATTCGAGGTATTTCCTCCCAATGATAATTCAGCGAAAAAATACAAAATTAATACACAATAGAGGCATGAACTATATATTCGAAACCTAAAGGGACAGGCAAGAAATTATTATCAGCATCTCTAACTAAACGATGCGCCTCTCTTTTAGTTTCCAGCTTTATAAGCCATTTAGTAGTTGCCTCCCTGTCCGGACTTTATAAAGATAATTAATTAATAAAACGGTGACCAATTAGAAATATCAAATATATAAAACTCAAAAAGTAAAGCAAACCTGCGCAATAACCTTATCCCAGTTTTCTTTCGATCAATTATGTCATATCCAGCCAATGCTTGATCCACTTGGAATTGATTCACTATGGCTGGTAATCCAAAAAGCTGAACTTGTGTGCCAGGCCGGCTAACTAACTCTTCATTACGATTTCTGTGATACAAATCTGCACCCTAATAAAAACAATAATCAATATTGATAATACACTCGAATTAAAAGAAAAATACTCACAATATATTCACACATGATTTTCTGCCCAGCCAAATAACTATCGAGATTAGTTCTGACAAAACGTTCGGCTGCAAGTGGTGTAATAAAATTAACGGCAACTTTTCCGATAAATCTATAAAATTCATTTCTCCATAAACATACTGTGTGTCGTTAGTCCAGTATTACATCTTCACTTATTTAAAGAAAAAAAGGAAGATAATTCACTTTCTTGAATTGATTGTGCCCATTCAATCTTTACATTTGATGCCAAGCTTCGAATATCACCCGGTATAGTGGTCAATGGAAGTCTGCTTATCATTACAAAACGTGAGATGGCTTTTCTATTTATTGCTTATTTCATAAGAAAATAATGAATTAATCACATACATATATACGTGTCAATGTTATAATGTCAATGTTATAATGTCCAATGAATGAGTATACATAAAAACCTATTGCATTGTTAGGAACTGCTTCCAGCCTGGTTGTTGGTCGTTCCCGTACTCTCGCTAGTTGAGAAAGTGGAGAGGTTCCACGTTTATCGACGGTCTTCCTAATAATGGGTTCCACTTGTTCTTTATTTTCTTTTGGTAAATTTGTTTGTTCTGAGGTTGATACTGGCAGTACTCTCGGTGTTTGTGGTAGTTTTACTTCTGTTTTTCCTGTTGCTTCTAACATGGTTTGTTTCCAATCTTTGATAGGTGCTGCTGCTTTGACTGATTCTTGTTGTTTTGGTTCTGCTGTTTTGTTCTGTTCGACATTATCATTTTTTGCTAATTCGCTAATAAAATCTTGTTCCGCGTTAGTTGTAGGCGTTGAATTAAATAAACGAGTAAATCTTCCCGTTTTAGCGAACTGTACAAATATAAATGAATTTGACGAAAAAACGGGTCGAAATATTCGTGGTAGCGTTATCATGTCACAATAGATGATGATAGTGTGTGGATTTCTAAACATTTTTATTTATTGAAGATTTCTTTTTGTCATAATGACTCACTTTCTTAACAAATCGAAACGCTAACAAATAAATACGTTGAAATGCAAAATTTTTATTTTCCAAATGCTAAAAAAAATTCATTATTCAAATTAATATTCAAAATTAATATATATTATTTGAACTCGCGAATAATTAAAAAAATAACTTACTTTGTAATGTATCTCCAGGATAAAATAATCGCTCCACACCCTCCTCGGTAATTATTGCCACTCGAACACATCCACCGGATTTGTTATCACGTCCAATGGCTAAAGTAATAGCTAAAAGATGAAGGATAAAATTAATATCTCTTGATTTGATTATAAAAAACAAACGAATCAAAAAGATATAAAACACGTACCATGCTTTACAAACTTAATTCCTTCTTCTTTCGTCATACCTTGTCTATATTCTGTGTCACAATATCCATATATGTAAGAGGATCCACTTCCTATATATGCAAAATATATATATATATATATATATCATCATTTTTGGAGGAAACAGCGGAAATTGGGTGAACAATAATATTACCAGATATTGCATATTGTTGTTTAAATATACCACCACCCAATGGAATATTATAAACCGTTCCACCATGATATTTGTCCCAACCAGCGATAATAATCCCTGCGGACAAACTATCTTTGTTGGTGTAACAAAGTTCTTGGAATAATGATCCAGCAACTGATACTGTTGGAACTTCCCCATGATGAACACTATATACAATATAAAAGTCCAAAATAAAAACTAGCATTAATTCCTTATTGCATCTGAAATTCAATTCAACAAGTATTGTTCAATCAAAACACGAATTAACATAGAGAGAAATATTTACGTAAACATTTGCAAATAATAACGAATAATATCGGCAAGTGCCTGAGTATCTGCTGCACTTCCCGAACGACAACAATATATTCTGTCGTGTAGTTCGGTCAACTTATCGGTAACACGGTTCATAATGAAAGTTCCCGCCGTAGTACGTGAATCAGCTCCAATGATAACACCATTAGCAATTTCAATCGCCATAATGGAAGTCTAGAAAGATTAAACAAAAATTAGATTACACAATGAACAAGTTATATATATATGTCTCATATTTTATATAGATCTCCGCTAAAAAAAGGTAAACTAACTCCCAAATCGACTTCACCGGGTTTTAAAGACATTATTACTGTTTTTCTGAATTCAAAAAGGACAGTTCCAACAGTTTAGCTATTTTTTTACACGTATCTATCTATTAATAGTTTGTGCAAGGAAATTCCACCAATTGCGTGATGAAGATCTTAAAAAAGGATGACGCAATTAAGGTCCCTGAAACAAGTAGAAGAAGGTCCTTTTTTTGGTATATAAAGAACTACCACTACGTAAATCGATCTACTAATAAGGGATCAAATGAAAGCTCCATTAGTCAAAGTCATTATTATCATTATTGATAGATGATTTGATGCAACTCAAAAAAGTTAGGCCATCTTAATTTTGGCCAAAACTTATGTCGATCAAATGCCAAGCCAAATTATAGTGATATAATAAATAGTAACCAAATCGGGAGCATAGAATGGGTTCGCATTTATATAGCCGATATTATGAAGGATGGGATTATTGGTTTTTTGTAAAGCCGACGACGATTGGTCTATCCCAATTGATTACACGTAGTACAATCAAATCTGCTCAATTTTTCACATAAATTTACTAATTGAAATGCGTCGAATCCGCCCCATATGACGCCCACCGTCAATTTCTCCTTACACGGTAATAAAAAAGCTACAGTATAGCCGTTGCATCTAACCGAACAAGCACACGCTCGCTCTTTCTCTGTTATAACCTCGCATTTTTATTTTCTTACAACTCAACTCACTTATATTTCGTTCTTTTTTCTCCCCATCTTATTTTCCCAAGACCATCAATCAAATCTTAGTCATCTTATCTCCCTTATTTTTTTGATAAATTTAAGAATCGCCACCTAAAAATACTATCAAAACTAAAATTAACATTAAAGCAATATAATATTAAGGATCTCTTAGAAACTAATAAATTTCCCGACTATCACATTAGCTATAATTAGAGGATAAATCGAATCTTGGCTGATGGCAACAAAACATATTATCACAAACACGATGGCCAATAGTTCACACAGTAGTTCACATAGTCTACAGTCTTCTAATGTCGTAGGTGTACATTATAGAGTCGGGAAAAAAATTGGTGAGGGGAGCTTTGGGGTCATCTTTGAAGGTAACTTGGAAAACTTAATCTATTATGAATCTAACATAAATAGGACCGAGTTTGCAAAAATATGATAATACAGATATTCCTCCTAGTCTTAGTAGCAAACTTGATTGTCATCAATCATTAATTGCGATGGATTTATTAAGTGTAAAAAGATCCAATTATAGGAAATCTTCAAATAAGACAAAGAAAGGAGCTTTGAGAAACAAAAATTCATCTTTTTAATCTTCATATATTTGACGGAATCCCTTTAACTTTTACCTCTTTAGGAACAAACCTACTAAATAATCAACAAGTCGCGATTAAATTTGTAAGTTAATCTAGAAATTTTTTGCTTATTGTGCAGAATATTAAGAAATAAAATTATATTAAAAATTAGGAACCACGTAAAAGTGATGCACCCCAACTCCGTGATGAATATCGAACTTACAAGATTTTGGCAGGATCACGTGCGTATTATTAGCTTTATCTGAAATTTTGTTGTAGAGAAATAATTAATATAAAATACATGAAAATTTTAGCTGGTATACCGAGTGTATATTATTTTGGGCAGGAAGGACTGCATAATATACTAGTAGTTGATCTGCTTGGGCCTAGCTTAGAAGATCTGTTTGACATGTGTAACAGGAAATTCAGCATTAAAACAGTGGTTATGGTGGCTAAACAAATGGTATGCTAGTTTAAATATTTGTTTTTTATGATTCAAACAATTATTCAAATCGGTGATTCTCTCTTCAAATTTATTATCTGATTATATTTTGATTTCTTATGTAACTTCAATTGTGCTCTATATCGATACAAAAATATACACACACCTATATTGCTATTTAATTGAATAAGCTTACACGTGTGCAAACAATTCACGAGAAGAATCTTATCTATCGTGATATCAAACCAGATAACTTTTTAATTGGTCGCCCAGGAACAAAAGGAGCCAATACAGTTCACGTTGTAGATTTCGGCATGGCAAAACAATATCGAGACCCAAAGACTAAACAACATATTCCCTATCGAGAGAGAAAAAGTCTAAGTGGTACTGCAAGATATATGAGCATAAATACTCATCTGGGAAGAGGTTAGTTTACTGTTTAACCACTAGCCGAGAAGAATTATAGTTTATACTGAGATTATACCGATGAATATTTCTTGTAGAACAATCACGGCGTGATGATCTGGAAGCTCTTGGTCATGTTTTTATGTACTTTTTAAGAGGAGGGTTACCCTGGCAAGGGCTTAAAGCTGCAACTAATAAACAAAAATATGAGAAAATTGGAGAAAAAAAACAATCAACACCAATTAAAGAATTATGCGAGGGTTTTCCAGGTAATATTGAATTATTAAATTAATTTACTGTTAATCATGATGAAAGTGATATCTTTTTTATTTATTTTCTTGTTATTATTCATAGAGGAATTTGGCATATACCTTAACTATGTTCGTAAATTAGGATTTGAAGAGAATCCAGATTATGATTTCCTCCGAGATTTGTTTACGAAAGTTTTGAAAAACTCGATTGAGACAGAGGATGGTGTATATGACTGGATGTTACTTAATGGCGGTAAAGGATGGGAAACTAGTACGGTAAGCTTTTATAAATTTGAGTCCCGTAATCGTGTGTGCATAATTTTATAATTTTGGGGTGTGAGTGATTTTTTATTTATTAAAAATAAGAACAATAATATAAAGAAAGGCAATTCATTATACATTGAAAAAATTATTTATTTTAGTTCTTATTGTTTTTTCTCTTCTTTCATGTCAATTTTTTATATTTATTTATTTTCGTGTTTTTTTCCTGTTTCTTTTCTTTTCTGTTTTATTTTGCACACACGTATTGTTTATATCACAATAGAGAAAAGATGACGGTACTCTGAACCCTGAAACTAACACACGCCTAACACTTCATGGAACCTCATCTCAGCAATACAGTTCAAACGCTGGTATTCATCTTCATCATCATCATGGAACATCCGACCCACGAATTCATCGTTCATCACTCACTCGAGGACCATCGATGAATCGTGGGCAACAACCACAAAATCCATCATCGCCTGCATTAGCTCATACGAATTCGAAAAGAGGATCGAAAAAACATCCAAGTGGTATGATGCAACCCGGTAATGTGGATGAATTGCCTTACGGAGCTCGTGTTGGAATGAATGGAGGTAATGGAAATGCTACTGGCCCTCAAGGAAATAACCCTGCTGATTCGAATTCTCATCGACGGCGCGGAATCTGGCAAAAGTTTATCGGGGTGATTACATGCAGTATGTGTAGCTAAGATTTATTATTTTTATTTTTGGTGTCCCCTTTGGGGAGGGTGGGGGAGAATTAATTTAAGTAATCTGCTGTTAATATCGGATGAGGCTGGAATAGGCTGGCGCGGTGGTGAAATGAATTAATGGGCAAAAAGAATCAATTAATATTATTAGATTTTGCTTAATTTGTATATAATTTTGATTTTGGGAGAGGTTTTATTTCCGTTAGGTAGATCATCATCATCATCATCATCATCTATCCCAGATAGTAGTAATATTACGCTTTTTATTCTATATCTGATTATAAATTCCCATGATTGATCCCTTTCGGTTATTTGATCTCCCCTTTTTATATTTGCAAATCTTGAGAATTATATTTATTTACTCTTGCTTGCAAATGTAAATTTTGGATTTTAAAGAAAGAAATAGATATTGTCAAAATAAATTATTGTCAGAAATCACAAAAAAATAGAGCTTGGAATGTAGTATCAAAACAAAATAGCAATTTTTTTTCCTTCATTTATTTTTTTTCCTCAACCATCAAATTAATTTTGAATCGAATTCTCAACTTCTTTTTGACGTAGGTTGACGAAATTTCAACGAATAGGTGCCGGTCATCTAAAGCAATAACAAAAGTGTTGATTGTGCCACAGCTGAAATTTCCCTATATTTTTTGATATTTTTCAAGTTTCGGCATACAATTTTAATACTATAATGATGATAAATTTTGGCACGCATCGGTTTGGAAGCATCCAGCATCTTTTATATCAGAATGGACAACAAATCTGAAAGGAATGTAAACCTTCAACAGTCATCCAACACTGACAATTTAAGTAGCTCAAACCGTCAAAATCAATTGGCTATACAACACAAAAAAATCCTTTAAGAACAATTTTAAAATGTGTAATACATACAATAATGTGTAATACATACAATATTATAATAATAGAATTTTTTAATAGAATTTCTTGAAGACCAAAAGATTATTGATAATGTTGTTGATAATACTATCTTGACAGATGAAAAGAAATAAAAATTCAATTAGACCTTTATTGATAAGGATCGACTTCCGGATGTCACGATTATTATATGGGTCTCGGTTCCAGAATGTTATTTTATTCATTAATTAATAAATAAAATTCAGCAGTTTATAACACAACAAAAATCTTATCTAAACTCTTCTAACCTCTTAAAAAAATTAGCAGTGGTTTCCTCTTAACCAGCTCTGAACATGAACTTACTGAAGGCTCAATATCTCGTGTCTCGCGCTCGTTCGTTGACAATTAGCCTTCTCCAAAAATCGCAAGTTAGATTCGATCCAATAGTAGTGCCCGAGAAAAGGAAGGCACAGCTGAGTAAAGAACGTTAATTCAAATCATTTTGACGAAACAATCCAAAACTTTATCTGTTGCTCTCATCAGACATGCGAAAAAAGTATTGAAAACCTGCTGGAACTCGTTGAAGCCCGCGGTGATTATCGAGATTTTACTCAGTTTTGCTATTTTTCCTAACCGTTTAGTGGAAAATTTTTATCTACTGCTACTCTTGGCAGTGTACTTTCATACTTATACTTCACCTATAAAAGGTCAAAAAATGAAGTATGTATTTGAGAAAGGAAAAATCAGCGAAACGTGCAGACCTCGAAAATAAATTGAAGTCGATTCTCCGGCCTCTCCTCCGTGCAAAATTTACTTTCTCATCCAGGGTGAACACGACATTAATTAAAAAAACTATACTTAATCTCCCAGCACCGAAGATAACTCATCCAACATTTCTTTCCCCTTTCGGTTTATTCATATTCATATTCATTTCTTTTAACAGGGCGTTGTCCATTTTGAATGTCCTGTTGACGTAAGGCTTTTTGCGAAGAATTTGAGCTATATCCATTAAAACCTCGGGAGATTGTCACAGAGTGGGTTATTGGTACAGAGGAAGGATATTGAGTGGTTCTCGTGATGCTTGACAATCAACTTCACATTTTATTCTAAGGGCTTCATTCAACATATAGATCAAGAGGATAATTTAGAGGAACCTTCCATCTTCTGAGTGATTTGTTGGTTGGTCTTAGTTTTGTTTCGGTTAATATTGTAAAGTCTAAGTTGTTTTGAGTAATCCATTCCTTTAGAATTTGAATTTTACTATTATCATTTATTCCACGAATATTGTAAGTGGCTATTTTCCATACATAATTTGTTTCATGATTGATTAATGTTGGTGCTTTTTCTTTGTTGCTACTATTATTGATTATTGTCCAGTGTTATATTATTAATTGTGTTCACTAATGTTGATACTGGTATTTTCTGTGAATGCAAACTTGATCTAATTTTATTGTTGTGTATTATCATTATTAATTGTTGTAATAATTTCTGTTTCTATTATTTGAGAAACTTGTTTATTTTGTATGACTTGAGCTAGTTGGTTAATTGATTGCTTAAGATTTGTAAATTGTTTCAGTGTAATATTGGTTCTGTTATTAAGGATTATGAATTTTTGTGAATGATTAGAATTTTTTTGAGGTTGATATTTTTGTTTCTTTGAATGATTGTGGTTTGAACTTTGATCTTTGCAGCTAAATGTGTTAGCTTGTTGATTGCATTATTTAAATTGGATTTGATTCTGTTCATTTTTTTCTTTAATTTAATTTATTTTTTTTAATGGATTGGATTTTGTTGTACTTCTTGTTTATTTTTCAGCTTTGATTTTAGCACACTTATAAATAAGTATTTTTTTTATTGTGAAATTATTTTGTATGAAAATTTTTTTTGTTATGATAGATAAAAAAATTTTTAAATAATTTAAATTAAATAATATTCCATTTGATTTGTTATTGATTTTTTTTGTTTATAATTAGTGATTAAATAATCAACTTGATAACAAAAGATACAAGTTTTTTAATTAATGGTTGCTCATACTAAATTATACTCTTGAAATATATATTGTTCTCGTTAATTCAAAAATTGTTAAAATTAATGAATTAACAAAGTAATATAACAGTGAAAGAACAAAGACCGAATGAATTACAATTAATGGGGTTCACTAAAGGTTCTAAAGGTCTCCTGTGGTAGCTTGTACGCAAACTAACTAAATATTATCAATAAAGAATAGAAATGAATAGAAAAATAAAGTAAAAAGATAAAAAGAATTAAAAGAATTGACAAATAGTTTTAAAGTGAATAACAGGACTTATTGAAGATGCCTAACGAAATAAAATAACAATTGGACTTATTGAGACTGCCAATTACGAAATATAAACAAAAATAATCAAAAATAATCAAACAGGACTTATTGAAATTGCCTAAACTAAAATAATCAAAAGTAAT